AAAAAAAAAAAAAAAAAAAAAAAAAAAAAAAAAAAAAAAACCGCCCCCGCCGCCCCGCGCCGCCCCGGGCCTCGGCCCGCAGCCCGGCCGCCGGCCCACCTGGCGCAGCGCCGCCCTCGGAGCCCGCGCACACCCGCGCACCCGCGGCCGCAGGAGGGCCCAGCGACGCCGCCGCGCCAGCTCCCAGGGCCCGGCCGGCCCCGGCGCTCACGCTCTCGGGGCGGACTCCAGGCCCTCCGCGCCCTCCCGCGCGGCGATGGCCCCGCTCGGATACTTCTTACTCCTCTGCAGCCTGAAGCAGGTTCTAGGCAGCTACCCGATCTGGTGGTGAGTGAGGCTCCTCGCGTTCGCCCCTGCCCCCGTGCGCCGCGCCCGCAGCAGACCGCCCCTCGGGCAGGGACCCCGCGGTGGCCCGAGCCCGCGCCCTTCTGCTCCCGCCCCGCGTGCCGGCCGCCCGCGGTTGGTTTTCCTGGACGGCCACGTTGGACCTGTTCAGGCCAGGCTGGGACGCGTGGGTGGCGGGGCTTCCGGAGACAGTGATTCCCGAGCGGGGGTGGGGGAGCTTGCGGAGAAGATCCCAGCTGCCCCTGGCGTCGGAAGGGGCGAGCAGTGGGCTGGGGAAAGGCGGAAAGAAGGTCGGCACGCGCGGTCGCCGAGGCCAGGGGACAGGCGAGGAAAGAGGGCCAGAGAGAGGGAATTCACTGGGGACGTTCCTCAAAAACCATATCTTACACACAAACACACACACGTTTTAAAACAAAGTCGGTGAGACAAGACTGAACAGCTCGGAGCCGCGTGGTTACGTAAAGAAAGCTGGGACCCGGCGGGGAGTGGCGCAGAGCCGGCGGCGGGGCGCACTGGGGGCCGGCTCTGGGCCCCGCGCGCTTCTCCGCCGCAGTCCGGGCGCGGGGGTTTCCAGGGCCCCTCTCTGCCAGCCCTCCGCCTGGGTCCGCCTGGCAAGGAGGGGCTGCTGTAGAGAGAGGTAAGGGGAAGCTCAGCACCGGGTGTGAGGGGCTCCAGGACCCTCAATCAAAAAGCGCTGTGCTGCGCCCTCCACGCCGGAAAAGGCGCGTTCCGTGAGACCCTCCCCAGCCAGGCGATGGAAGTGCAGATAAATCAAAGGAAGGGTCCCCAAACGTCTCTCCCAGGCCTCCAGCCTCCACCGCACACATCCTGTGGAAAGGGGAACGGGGGCCATACTTTCTTAAGTGCTTGTGATTCCTCAGAGCCCTCACCAAGCAAGGGTCACCCCAGTTCCGAATTAAGGGCGCTCTGAGATGCCCAAGATTGAGGAACACAGTGGGAGGGCTGTGGGCGCTCGGGGCCAGGCGCAGCGCTGTAGGACCCGCAGTTGGAGAGAAGCCTCCCCACAAGCATGCACACTCCCCCCATCCTTCTCCGACGGCAGCCTGGAATTATAATAATTACGCCAAGGGGAAGGGGGGAGACTCAGCGAGCTGAGGTACATCTAATCCGATAATAATTTTTCTCTTCGAGATGGTTCAGGAGCGGGGGCTCCCGCGGTAGGGGCGCCGGGCCAGGAGCAGCCGGGCAGGAAAGGGGCAGCCCTAGGCGGCCGAAGGGCCTGGAAGAGGCCACGGGAACTCGCTTCAGGGACCCCCACTCCGCGCTCCCCGACTTCCGCGTGCCTGTTTCCCGTGCAACACTTGCGGCGCCCGGTGGCCCACCTGAGCGCCAGGCTCCGGGTGCGCCTTGGGGCGCGGGGATACTGACGCGCGTCCAGACGGCCGCAGGGGAGCAGGGCAGCTCGTCCGCCGGAGAGAGCCCCGAGGGCCGCCTGCTCACGCACCAGGCTTCTAATTAGAACCCGCCGCCGCGTTCCTGAGCGCAAAAGGAAGCGCCTTCGCCCCCGCGCCCTTCCCGTCAATGTCACCAGCCTCCTGTCAACCCCGCGCCCTAGGATCCTTGTCTTGTCGGCCCTGAGGGCTTCTAGCCTCCGTCCCCACCCACCTCATACCCATGTACACCTCGCTTTCACCCGGGCCCCCTGTGTTCCGCCCCAATGCACCCTGAGACACCCTCGGGAGAGTCAGACATTCTTCAGGGGAGCCAGGAGGAGCAGAGAAGTGAAGTCCCTGGACTCTCTCCGCCCTCCCATCAAGAGACCAGGACAGCCCTTTGGCCACACAGGGAAGGGGGGCCTGGAACCCCACCTGACACTGACGGGGGTGGGTGGTGAGGACCCCTCCCCCGTCCCCACCCCCACTTTGTTCTCAGTAGGGTTCTCACACTTGGGGATTCTCTACTTCCTGAGAAGCAGCATCTTCTTCAGGGAGGCTGGCTCCCTGGGGACGAGACTGCCCCCTTCTTGATCTCCTCTCTGCCCCCAGGCAGGCTCTGGGGCAGGAGCAAGGACATGCCTTCCCCGGAGGGTGGGGGAGCCCGTGAATAGCACACAGGCATCCCAGCGGGGAAGACTCACAGGACACAGCCTGCAGGACCCCTCTGCCGCTGGACCCCTGCTGCTGACGGCCTGCAGTTTAACAGCGGGAAGATTCTCTTCCTCTGCATCTTCTACCCAGCACAGCCTCTCCTTTCTCCTGCCTCCTCACATCCACCCCAGAATAAGCATCACCGGGGAGAAGGGGGACCTTGGCCCCTGCCAGGTGGACTGCTGGTGAGCCCCAGTGCAGCAGAGCCGGCTGGGGCGGGAACCTCTCTCTAACTCCTCACCTGCGCCCCCAACCCCTCCCTAACACCCATCGCTGGCCCCTTGGCTTCTCCCGGCTCCACGGTCCCCGGCACACAAAAGTGAAAGTGAAGGGGAATCTCCTCACCTGGAGAAACAAACCAGGAAACAGCCCAAATCAGGGCAATTAGGCTTTTGAAGTCCACAGAGGGAGAGGCAAAGGTGTCGCTGTGGCCAGCAGCCCTGCGAGAGTGTGAAGGGCCACCTGCCTCCCCAGGGCCGCTGGCCCAGAGGTGTCTCACACCACGCAGCAGATGCCAGTGGTCCCAAGGCCCAGTGGGTCTGAAATGCAGAGAGGTGGGCCTGGCCTAAGACTGAATGGCCCACAGCTGTGCAGACATCCAGGCGAGTTCCTTCTGAGCTCGTCAAGTGACAGAGAAGAGCCAGGCAGGGGAGCAGACAGGCCTGGGCACCTGACCACCTGCGTCCCAATAGGCCACAGACGGCAGGGACTAGTGGCCCCCACCTCCCTGCATGCCCCTTCCAAGCTGAGTTCTCAGGAACCGGAATTCACAGAAGAGCCCATGCGGACAGAAGACAGGGCAGCTGAGCGGCCACGACCCCATCTGTGGATAATCCCCCCCCTGCATTGTGCTCCCAGCACCTCTCCCTCCTTCTTCCCATGGCATCTTGTTATCTCCCCAGGGGCTCCACCAGGACCCTCGAGGTCCACCTGGGCCTCCCGCCACCGCCTCCCCCGGGTCCAAGCCCGCTTCGGGGCTGAGGACTGGATGGTGTTCATCTTTCAAGTCCCCCTGCAGCCGTCACCAGACTGGGCTGTGGCAGTCCCGCCACGGCCGCTTCCCGATTCTGTTCTTAGTGGTGGCCGCACTCTCTCCCCTGGGACCCACACCCTCTCAGCCACCTGGGGTTGCTGCCAGGCCTGGTCATGGCCACCGCCATGCGGAGCACGGCAAGCTCTGTTCCTCACCCACGCCCGTTCTCTCAGGCCCTTCCCTTCCTGGGCCTCACCATCTCCTGCTGCATGGTGGGCTCCTGAGCACGGAGGCCTGGCCGTCCCAGGGAAGCACGGTGTAAGCCGTGCCCAGCCTTTTCCCCACCCCTGGCCCGCTCCACAGCCTGGCTTATGGTCCGTCCAGGGTCCCCTCACGTCCTCTGGGCCTCAAGCTTGTAAAACACATCATGACCCGCATTTTTATTGGGTCTCTCATGCAGCCCTCGGCAGAGCATGTATGCCCTTTCAGGCCCCCACTCCCCTGCACACTCATGGGTGCCAACAACCTGGGCACAGAGCTCAGCCCCTGCTCCCACCCCTTCATGGGCTGGAGGGCCGGCACCCCTGGAGGCCCTGCTCAGAGGCGTCTGCACCCCCGACCAGGCATCTGGCCGGTGTCCTCAGTCCGGGTGGGCCTCACTGCAGTGGGAGACAGCCTGATTGGAACACGGGGCAGGCGAAAAACAGTTCAGGGGGGTAGGAGCCAGGAGGGGGTGCAGAGTGGGAAGGAACCCGGCTGGAATGAGGAGCAGGCAGAGGTGTGCAGCGGGCGGGCGGGCAGGGGGCTGCAGCACGGATGTTTTGGGGACTGAGAGGGGCCAGTTGGGCAGGGCAGGGACACGGCCCAGGGTACCCCGAAGCTCAGATGGGAAGGGCCCTGAGACAGGACGAATGGGTGCCACTCTCAGAGCCACTCTGTCTCCAGGTTAGCCTGAGACATGTGCTCCTTCCCAGGCCTGGCCTCGCCCCTTCCTCCTCCTTCCCTGTCGTCTGTGTCTCTGTCTCTGCTTCTCTCTGGCCTGTCTCTGTCTCTCAGTCCCTCCCTGTCCATCTCTCTCTCCTCCTTGTCTCTGTCTGCCCGTGTGTATCTCTAGCTCTCTGTATCTGTCTCTGCCTTTGTCACTCTTTGTCCCTCTCTCCCTGCCTGTCTCTGGCACTCTATCTCTTTTCATCTGTCTCTCTGTCTCTTGTGGTCTCTGTCTCTGTGCCTCTGGCCCTGAGGACAGCAGTCATTAGCAAATAAAACTCGTGAGATGAGCTGAGTGGAGCCACCAGGCCAGCCCTTCTAGAGCTGTGGGCTCAGGTACCTGGGGGTGGCATTGCCCCTCAGAGCTGCCTACACAAACCCCTCCTGAGGGTAATGACCAGGAGTGGCCACATGTCAACTGTCTGCAACCAGACATCGGCCGTGCGTGACCACCAGGGTCTGTAGCCACTGCAGGGACCCACAGCACCTTTCCGGAGCAGAGCGCAAAGCTCCTTCTGCCTGGGGCTCATACCGCAGGCACTGGCTGCCCCTCCAAGCCCCCAGGGCTTGTTCTAAGGGCGTTTGCTTGGCATAGGCCTCCTGGAATCCTCTGTGGGGGATGAGCACATACAGTCACAGAGCCCAGTCTTAGGGGTGGTGACCTCTGGGGCCACTTCTTCCCCCGGGTGCCCTGTGCCTGCCTGTCGCTGGCCCTCAGGGAGGGAAGCTGCGGTGTCCAGCAGCCCTCCCAAGACGGCCAGCTCCATCCAGGGACCCCCGCTGGGGCTTCTCAATGTGGGGCTTATCGTGAATGCTCAGCCACCTGTCCATGAAGAAATCAGAACAGAAATAGGAATTTAAAAAGGATTTGGTGACATTGTAGCGGTTTGACAGTGCTCCAGTTATTTCTGTGG